TTTTTCCTTTTGGGCCACCCCGCCTCGGTGGGATACGGCCGGTGTGTTGAAAGAAAGAAGTCTGTTGAGTATACCTGGTAAAGTGCATGGTAGAGTTATTATTGAAAGAATTAAGAGTAAGACGGAGAATAGGATAGCAGATGAACAAGGAGGCTTTAGGAAAGGTAGGGGGTGTGTGGACCAGGTGTTTACATTGAAACATGTAAGTGAACAGTATTTAGATCAGGCTAAAGAGGTCTTTGTGGCATTTATGGATTTGGAAAAGGCGTATGACAGGGTGGATAGGGGGGCAATGTGGCAGATGTTGCAGGTGTATGGTGTAGGAGGTAGGTTACTGAAAGCAGTGAAGAGTTTTTACGAGGATAGTGAGGCTCAAGTTAGAGTATGTAGGAAAGAGGGAAATTATTTCCCAGTAAAAGTAGGCTTTAGACAAGGATGTGTGATGTCACCGTGGTTGTTTAATATATTTATAGATGGGGTTGTAAGAGAAGTAAATGCAAGGGTCTTGGCAAGAGGCGTGGAGTTAAAAGATAAAGAATCACATAAAGTGGGAGTTGTCACAGTTGCTCTTTGCTGATGACACTGTGCTCTTGGGAGATTCTGAAGAGAAGTTGCAGAGATTGGTGGATGAATTTGGTACAGTATGCAAAAGAAGAAAATTAAAAGTGAATACAGGAAAGAGTAAGGTTATGAGGATAACAAAAAGATTAGGTGATGAAAGATTGGATATCAGATTGGAGGGAGAGAGTATGGAGGAGGTGAATGTATTCAGATATTTGGGAGTGGACGTGTCAGCGGATGGGTCTATGAAAGATGAGGTGAATCATAGAATTGATGAGGGGAAAAGGGTGAGTGGTGCACTTAGGAGTCTGTGGAGACAAAGAACTTTGTCCTTGGAGGCAAAGAGGGGAATGTATGAGAGTATAGTTTTACCAATGCTCTTATATGGGTGTGAAGCATGGGTGATGAATGTTGCAGCGAGAAGGCTGAGGCAGTGGAGAAGTCATGTCTGAGGGCAATGTGTGGTGTGAATATAATGCAGAGAATTCGTAGTTTGGAAGTTAGGAGGAGGTGCGGAATTACCAAAACTGTTGTCCAGAGGGCTGAGGAAGGGTTGTTGAGGTGGTTCGGACATGTAGAGAGAATGGAGCGAAACAGAGTGACTTCAAGAGTGTATCAGTCTGTAGTGGAAGGAAGGGGCGGGGTAGGGGTCGGCCTAGGAAAGGTTGGAGGGAGGGGGTAAAGGAGGTTTTGTGTGCAAGGGGCTTGGACTTCCAGCAGGCATGCGTGAGCATGTTTGATAGGAGTTAATGGAGACAAATGGTTTTTAATACTTGACGTGCTGTTGGAGTGCGAGCAAAGTAACATTTATGAAGGGGTTCAGGGAAACCGGCAGGCCGGACTTGAGTCCTGGAGATGGGAAGTACAGTGCCTGCACTCTGAAGGAGGGGTGTTAATGTTGCAGTTTAAAAACTGTAGTGTAAAGCACCCTTCTGGCAAGACAGTGATGGAGTGAATGACGGTGAAAGTTTTTCTTTTTCGGGCCACCCTGCCTTGGTGGGAATCAGCCAGTGTGATAATAAAAATAAAAAAACACACGATCAGTTTTATTTTTCCCATCATGCACCGCATGAGGCAAAATTTTTTTTATACATATGCTGCACACTCACTGCACAGACTCATTCTCTCATATCTAGGCCAAACTTTACTGCTGGCAGCTTATCTGAGTGAGCTGAGCTTATGCTGAAGAACTACATCAGAGACCTTGGCCTCAATGCTGTTGTTCTACATGACAGAACCATCAAACTCATAAGATCCATGAGCCTGTGCTTCTTGGTCATGGCTAGTAGCATTACCTGGGTTACTCAAGTGAATTAAGCATTTACAGTCCTCTATATTGTTTGAATTATCATTCATACATAATGGATCCCTACTGTCAATTTAAATAACAATAACCCTTATCTAGATTACATTTTGATTAATTTGTCCAATTAATTACTGGGTGTCAAGCTCTCTATCTCAAACTGACTAGTCATTCTAAAAATTATTTATCTTGGATCTAAACATAGTCGAGAACAGCAGTTCTTAATTGAGAAGAAAAGCACAAACTCATTGCAAAAATAAGGAATGTGTTGTGTATTTGCAATTTGCTCCTTAAACTAGTTTCTCAATTTACCTATTTAAATAAAGAAGACTTTTTTAATTTTTGCATTTAGAATTTTATATGAAGGAAGGAGGGAAGCACAGAAATAAGAACCAACTGTGAAAGGGGGAAAGCCCAAAAAGAGGTTTAGAACCACTGGTCTAGACCAATACATAACTACCTATTCCAGAAGCATTTAGGATCCTGGGGAGCTAATCCCTTGGGGTTATAATTAGATAGACTGTGTGGAGTTTAAGAGACAGTGAAGGAACCCTTGACCCTAAAAAAATAAGTCAGGTTTGATCCAAGATCAGTGAGACACAAGTTTCCCGTATTAGTTAGTACTTTTGAACCTGGATAATATTCAGGGTCAGATGTCAGGTTCCTCATGAAAGGATGACCTTTGAACAGACTCAGATGTGCCAGAATTCCCTATAAGTGGCTTCCAAGTTTAGATAACATGGACTGTGCTGACGAGTAGTAAATTAGAATACAAAATTAGCTAATATGCTCACTTGTACAGATATTAGGAAAATTACCCTTGGCATTGACTCTACTATTGATATCTTTAAAAAGAGTGAGTAGAGAGAAGTGGCTTTTGGCATACAGTGTGCCACTGAGGAGTAAGCAACATAACATTTATTTAGGAATTTAGGATAACTGGCAAACTAGATTCAAATTCTGGTGGTGAGAAGTATGGCTCCTGCACTCTAAAGACTGGATGCTGATGTTGCAGCTCAGAAGGTTGTTTGAATCTTGATGTCCATGAATTTCTAGCAATTTTGGCAATTCGTAGCCATCTTGATAGGCATAAACTGATTAATGAATCTCAACACGGTTTTACCAAGGGGCGTTCCTGTCTTACGAATTTACTTTTTTCGTTAAGGTGTTTGAGGAGGTAGATCATGCTAATGAACATGATATTGTGTATATGGACTTCAGTAAGGCTTTCGATAGAGTTCCACAGCAGAAACTTTTGAAGAAACTTAAGACACACAGAATAGGAGGAGATATTTTTTCCTGGATAGAGGCGTGGTTGACAAATAGGCAGCAAAGAGTTTGCATAAAAGGGGAGCAATCAGAATGGGGGCATGTCACAAGTAGTGTTCCACATGGGTCAGTGTTGGGACCCCTTGTTGTTCACAATTTACATGAACGATATAGACGAGGGAATAAATAGCGACATAAGCAAATTTGCTGATGACACCAAAATACGCTGTCCAATTCATTCTATTGAGGACATTAGTGCACTCCAGGATGATTTGAATAGACTGATGCAGTAGTCAGAGAAGTGGCTGATGCAGTTTAATACAGATAAATGCAAAGTGCTAAATGTTGGACAGGACAATAACCATGCCACTTATAAACTGAATAGTGTAGATCTTAATACTACTGATTGTGAAAAGGATTTAGGAGTTCTGGTTAGCAGTAATCTGAAACAAAGACAACAGTGTATAAGTGTTTGCAATAAAGCTAACAGAATCCTTGGCTTCATATCAAGAAGTATAAACAATGGAAGTCCTCAGGTTGTTCTTCAACTCTAAATATCCTTGGTTAGGCCTCATTCAGATTATGCAGCACAGTTCTGGTCACCATATTACAGAATGGATATAAATGCACTGGAAAATGTACAGAGGAGGATGACAAAGTTGATCCCATGTATCAGAAATCTTCCCTATGAGGATAGACTGAGGGCCCTGAATCTGCACTCTCTAGAAAGGCATAGAATTAGGGGGGGATATGATTGAGGTGTATAAATGAAATACAGGAATAAATAAAGGGGATGTAAATAGCGTGCTGAAAATATCCAGCCAAGACAGGACTCGCAGCAATGGCTTCAAGTTGGAAAAGTTCAGATTCAGGAAGGATATAGGAAAGCACTGGTTTGGTAATCGAGTTGTGGATGAGTGGAACAAACTCCTGAGTACCGTCATAGACGCTAAGACGTTGTGTAGTTTTAAAAATAGGTTGGATACATACACGAGTGGGTGTGGGTGGGTGTGAGTTGGCCCTGACTAGCTTGGGCTACCAGGTCTGGTCTGTCCTCCTTCCTTAAGTGGAAGTGACCTGACTAGGTGGTCATTGTTCTAGGCCAGGGGGGGGGAGGCATGGACCTGCTTTGCATGGGTCAGTAGGCCTGTTGCAGTGTTCCTTCTTTCTTATGTTCTTAAATGAGTGATGGTGAATGAGTTTCCCACTCTGGACCACACCTCACTTTGGTAGGGAAAACAGTCAACATATGTATACAGTAAACCCTATATATAACAGACCTTGATATAACACCTATTTTCAAGTAAATAACAAAATTGCAAATTGCACTTCTAACTCCTTTAATTTCAATGTTTATTTGCAATATAACTACAAATTGTACACAGTATTATTTTAGGTATAAAGTAGAGTAACTGAGCATTTTTTTTTTTTTAATATTCTGAGTTAATGGACATTCAGGGAATCTAGCCTCCCCTGTCCCTCCCACCAATTACTCCATTATATGGAGGATTTGCTGTATAATGTTAAAAAATTCATTTAAAATTAGTATACATATGATGCAGAATTTCCAGGGACAATGAAGTACTAGCTCTGGCATTTGCCGTTAGAGCTGACTTTCATCCATTCTTCTCATCTAGCTTTCTGACAAAATCTTCATAATAAACTTTCTCAAAAATTCTCACAAAGGACTTCAAAATGTGAAATCCAAGACTTCGTCTCTTTACCTTCCTAAGAGTCAGGAACTCCAAGTAACTTAATGAAAGTATGAACTAGAAAATATATTTATTAAATGCTCAATATGATCACTAACACCTTTTTCATTAAAATGCACTGCTGATCTTCATGTCCATGCACTCTTGAGTCTTACCTCTTGATATGGGCCCACACTAGGTAGCTTTGAAGGATCATCCGGGTAAAGGAATGCATGACAAGTGGTGCACAAAGGTTGACCAAAATTGGGACCATAGAAGCCACTGCAGTGAAAACATGAATCATTCTGAAAGATAAGGAATAAAATCAGAACTAGAAAAATCATATCTAAAGACAATGTCCATGAATACTTCTTGAAAAACATTGAAAGCAATTAGAAAATGTGATTGTAGTGTCATTTTATTTGTTAAACACTAATGCACAAATAGTAAAAAAAATAATTCATGAAACATGAATTATTATTATTATTACTAGAGTTTTTCTGTAACACACTGGTCATCTCCCACAGAGGTATGATGACCCTAGAAAAGAAAAACACTTATCATCATTCACTCCATCACTTTCTTGCCAGAGGAATGCCAATACTACAGTTCAGATGTCCCTCCTAACTGTAGTATCCAGCTTCCTTCAGAGTGCAGGTACTGTACTTCCCACCTCCAGGATTCTAAGTCCAGCTAACTGGTTTCTCTAAATCCCTTAATAAATGTTACCCTTCTCACACTCCAACAGCACATCAAGCCATAAAAACCATCTGCCTCCACTCCAATCTAACACACTCACACACACCTGTTGGATGTCAAAGCTCATCACATACAAAATAACCTTTACCAACCACTCCTAGAATGACCCACACCCCCACCTTCCCTCCAACAGAGATTTATACACCCTCCAAGTCATCCTATTTTGCTCTGTCCTCTCTAAACATTCAAATTACCTCAACAATCCCTCCTCAACTCTCTGGACACTTTTAGTAACCCTGCACTTCATTCTAGTCTCAAAACTACAAATTCTCTATATAATATTCACACCACATATTGCTCTCAAACATGACATCTCCACTGCCTTCAGCCTCCTAGCTCCAACATTTACAATCCATTCTTTACATCCATATACGTAAGTGTTATTGCCACTATATGCTCATACATTTCCCTTTTGGCTCCATGGATAACATTCTCTGTCCCCACACATGGCTCAATGTGACATTATTCTGTATGGGAAAAATAGCTTTGGTTGTCGTCCATTCTGGTTATCGAACTGACATCTGGAACAAATTAAGTTCGACAACCAAGGCTCCACAGTGTGTGTGTGTGTGTGTGTGTGTGTGTGTGTGTGTGTGTGTGTGTGTGTGTGTATATATATATTTTTATTTTTTTTTTTTTTATTATCACACCGGCCGATTCCCACCAAGGCAGGGTGGCCCGAAAAAGAAAAACTTTCACCATCATTCACTCCATCACTGTCTTGCCAGAAGGGTGCTTTACACTACAGTTTTTAAACTGCAACATTAACACCCCTCCTTCAGAGTGCAGGCACTGTACTTCCCATCTCCAGGACTCAAGTCCGGCCTGCCGGTTTCCCTGAATCCCTTCATAAATGTTACTTTGCTCACACTCCAACAGCACGTCAAGTATTAAAAACCATTTGTCTCCATTCACTCCTATCAAACACGCTCACGCATGCCTGCTGGAAGTCCAAGCCCCTCGCACACAAAACCTCCTTTACCCCCTCCCTCCAAACCCTTCCTAGGCCGACCCCTACCCCGCCTTCCTTCCACTACAGACTGATACACTCTTGAAGTCATTCTGTTTCGCTCCATTCTCTCTACATGTCCGAACCACCTCAACAACCCTTCCTCAGCCCTCTGGACAACAGTTTTGGTAATCCCGCACCTCCTCCTAACTTCCAAACTACGAATTCTCTGCATTATATTCACACCACACATTGCCCTCAGACATGACATCTCCACTGCCTCCAGCCTTCTCCTCGCTGCAACATCATCACCCACGCTTCACACCCATATAAGAGCGTTGGTAAAAACTATACTCTCATACATTCCCCTCTTTGCCTCCAAGGACAAAGTTCTTTGTCTCCACAGACTCCTAAGTGCACCACTCACTCTTTTTCCCTCATCAATTCTATGATTCACCTCATCTTTCATAGACCCATCCGCTGACACGTCCACTCCCAAATATCTGAATACGTTCACCTCCTCCATACTCTCTCCCTCCAATCTGATATTCAATCTTTCATCACCTAATCTTTTGTTATCCTCATAACCTTACTCTTTCCTGTATTCACCTTTAATTTTCTTCTTTTGCACACCCTACCAAATTCATCCACCAATCTCTGCAACTTCTCTTCAGAATCTCCCAAGAGCACAGTGTCATCAGCAAAGAGCAGCTGTGACAACTCCCACTTTGTGTGTGATTCTTTATCTTTTAACTCCACGCCTCTTGCCAAGACCCTCGCATTTTACTTCTCTTACAACCCCATCTATAAATATATTAAACAACCACGGTGACATCACACATCCTTGTCTAAGGCCTACTTTTACTGGGAAAAAATTTCCCTCTTTCCTACATACTCTAACTTGAGCCTCACTATCCTCGTAAAAACTCTTCACTGCTTTCAGTAACCTACCTCCTACACCATACACTTGCAACATCTGCCACATTGCCCCCCTATCCACCCTGTCATACGCCTTTTCCAATCCATAAATGCCACAAAGACCTCTTTAGCCTTATCTAAATACTGTTCACTTATATGTTTCACTGTAAACACCTGGTCCACACACCCCCTACCTTTCCTAAAGCCTCCTGTTCATCTGCTATCCTATTCTCCGTCTTACTCTTAATTCTTTCAATTATAACTCTACCATACACTTTACCGGGTACACTCAACAGACTTATCCCCCTATAATTTTTGCACTCTCTTTTATCCCCTTTGCCTTTATACAAAGGAACTATGCATGCTCTCTGCCAATCCCTAGGTACCTTACCCTCTTCCATACATTTATTAAATAATTGCACCAACCACTCCAAAACTATATCCCCACCTGCTTTTAACATTTCTATCTTTATCCCATCAATCCCGGCTGCCTTACCCCCTTTCATTTTACCTACTGCCTCACGAACTTCCCCCACACTCACAACTGGCTCTTCCTCACTCTACAAGATGTTATTCCTCCTTGCCCTATACACGAAATCACAGCTTCCCTATCTTCATCAACATTTAACAATTCCTCAAAATATTCCTTCCATCTTCCCAATACCTCTAACTCTCCATTTAATAACTCTCCCCTCCTATTTTTAACTGACAAATCCATTTGTTTCTAGGCTTTCTTAACTTGTTAATCTCACTCCAAAACTTTTTCTTATTTTCAACAAAATTTGTTGATAACATCTCACCCACTCTCTCATTTGCTCTCTTTTTACATTGCTTCACCACTCTCTTAACTTCTCTCTTTTTCTCCATATACTCTTCCCTCCTTGCATCACTTCTACTTTGTAAAAACTTCTCATATGCTAACTTTTTCTCCCTTACTACTCTCTTTACATCATCATTCCACCAATCGCTCCTCTTCCCTCCTGCACCCACTTTCCTGTAACCACAAACTTCTGCTGAACACTCTAACACTACATTTTTAAACCTACCCCATACCTCTTATATATATTATATTATATATATATATATATATATATATATATATATATACACAGTGAACCCCCACGTTTCAGCTGCCGAGACTTTCGTGAAATCCGACTTTCGGCAACTTTTTTTCGTCAAAATATAGCCTCGTGGTTCATGATTGACCTCGTGATTCAGCGACCATCTGGAATGCATCTGAGTGGCATCCCAGCATCAGTGCCACAAAGCCAGTCTCCTGCACCATTCGACAGGTTGCCATTGTATATCAGCGAGTGACCATCATCGCACGCATTCATATGATGCATTTCATAATATTCCATTCTTTTTTGTGCTTCCAACTGCTAAATAAGTCACCATGGGCCCAAAGAAAGCTAGTGCCAGCCCTTTGGTAAAGAAAGTGAAAAACACGATCAAATTAAAGAAAGAAATCATTGAAAAATATGAAAGTGGAGTGCATGTTTCAGAGCTTGCCAAGATGTATGGCAAACACCATTCAACCATCACTTCGATCGTTGTGATGGGAAAGGAAATCAAGGAAGCTGTTGCTCAAAAATGAGACAAATACTCGAAGAAGTGGAGAAGTTATTGTTGGTGTGGATTACCCAAAAACAGTTAGCAGGAGATAGTGTTATGCAGCCCATAATTTGTGAAAAGGCAAGGCAGTTGCATGACGATCTCGTAAAGAAAATGCCTGCAATGAGTGCTGATGTTTGTGATTTTAAGGCCAGCAATGGCTGGTTTGAGAGATTTAAGAAGTGTAGTGGCATACACAGTGTGGTAAGGCATGGTGAGGCTACAAGTTCTAACAAAAATGCAGCTGAAAAATATGTTAAAGAATTCAAGGGGTACATAGGGGCTGAACAGTTCAAACCCCAACAAGTATTCAATTGTGACGAAACAGGCCTGTTTTGGAAGAAAATGCCAAAGAGGACCTACATCACGCAGGAGGAAATGGCACTGCCAGGACACAAGCCTATGAAAAACAGGCTAACTCTCATGTTTTGTAGTAATACTAGTGGAGATTGCAAAGTAAAGCCTTTACTGGTGTATCACTCTGAAAATCCCAGAGTGTTCAAGAAAAACAGTGTCGCCAAGAGTAAATTGTGTGTGATGTGGAAGGCTAACAGTAAGGCATGAGTCACAAGGAAAATTTTCCTTGATTGGTTCAATGAAGTGTTTGGCCCCAGTGTGAAGAAATACCTCCTGGAAAATAAACTGGAACTCAAGTGCCTCCTGGTAATGGACAATGCTCCTGCTCATCCTCCAGACTTGGAAGAGCAAATGGTGCAGGAGTTTCATTTCATCACAGTGAAGTTCTTGCCCCCTAATACCACTCCTCTCCTCCAGCCCATGGACCAGCAGGTCATTTCAAACTTCAAAAAACTGTACACCAAAGCAGAGTTTAAAAAGTGCTTTGAAGTGACCTCCGACACTGAATTGACCCTAAGAGAGTTCTGGAAAGATCACTTCAATATCCTCCATTGCATAAACCTTAAAGGTAAGGCTTGGGAGGGAGTGACTTCCAGGACTTTGAACTCTGCTTGGAGAAAACTGTGGCCACAATGAGTACAAGAGAGGGATTTTGAAGGGTTTGGGGCTTACTCTGAGAAGCCTATGCCTTCAAATCTAGCAAGAGAAAGCTGGTAGGCCTACATATGAAAGAACGGGTCTGCATTGTCAGTGTGCACAGTATAAAAAAAATCCTGCAGCACACAGTACACAATGAGAAAAAAAACTAGAGCGTGTTTTTGGTTTAAAACAGCGACTTTGCAGTGTATTTTCATATGGTATTTATGGTTGTATTCTCATTTTCTTGGTGTCATTTTATAGAATGGAAGACATATTACAGAAATTGAGATGATTTTGATTGGTTTCACAATGAAAAGTACCTTGAAATTGAGCTCAAAGTAGCAGAAATGTTAGATTTTTGCCAATGTTCAAAAGTAAACAAATCATGCAACTCAATAAATCTTCCATTTACTTAGGTCTTAAAACCTTAACACAACTAATAACAAATTGATCATCTTGTTATGTTATACATTGTAATGCGACAAATTCACAACTAAATACTTCAAAATCGAAATGTTCAAACTTCAGTGTTTCAAATACTCAATTATACTTAATGCTGTAAATTATTATTTTATTTTATTATCACACTGGCCGATTCCCACCAAGGCAGGGTGGCCCAAAAAAGAAAAACTTTCACAATCATTCACTCCATCACTGTCTTGCCAGAAGGGTGCTTTACACTACAGTTTTTAAACTGCAACATTAACACCCCTCCTTCAGAGTGCAGGCACTGTACTTCCCATCTCCAGGACTCAAGTCCGGCCTGCCGGTTTCCCTGAACCTCTTCATAAATGTTACCCTGCTCACACTCCAACAGCACATCAAGTATTAAAAACCATTTGTCTCCATTCACTCCTATCAAACACGCTCACGCATGCCTGCTGGAAATCCAAGCCCCTCGCACACAAAACCTCCTTTACCCCCTCCCTCCAACCTTTCCTAGGCCGACCCCTACCCCGCCTTCCTTCCACTACAGACTGATACACTCTTGAAGTCACTCTGTTTCGCTCCATTCTCTCTACATGTCCGAACCACCTCAACAACCCTTCCTCAGCCCTCTGGACAACAGTTTTGGTAATCCCGCACCTCCTCTTAACTTCCAAACTACGAATTCTCTGCATTATATTCACACCACACATTGCCCTCAGACATGACATCTCCACTGCCTCCAGCCTTCTCCTCGCTGCAACATTCATCACCCATGCTTCACACCCATATAAGAGCGTTGGTAAAACTATACTCTCATACATTCCCCTCTTTGCCTCCAAGGACAAAGTTCTTTGTCTCCACAGACTCCTAAGTGCACAACTCACCCTTTTCCCCTCATCAATTCTATGATTCACTTCATCTTTCATAGACCCATCCGCTGACACGTCCACTCCCAAATATCTGTATACATTCACCTCCTCCATACTCTCTCCCTCCAATCTGATATCCAATCTTTCATCACCTAATCTTTTTATTATCCTCATAACCTTACTCTTTCCTGTATTCACTTTTAATTTTCTTCTTTTGCACACCCTACCAAATTCATCCACCAATCTCTGCAACTTCTCTTCAGAATCTCCCAAGACACAGTGTCATCAGCAAAGAGCAACTGTGACAACTCCCACTTTATGTGTGATTCTTTATCTTTTAACTCCACGCCTCTTGCAAGACCCTCACATTTACTGCTCTTACAACCCCATCTACAAATAATTAAACAACCACGGTGACATCACACATCCTTGTCTAAGGCCTACTTTTACTGGAAATAATTTCCCTCTTTCCTACATACTCTAACTTGAGCCTCACTATCCTCGTAAAAACTCTTCACTGCTTTCAGTAACCTACCTCCTACACCATACACCTGCAACATCTGCAACATTGCCCCCCTATCCACCCTGTCATATGCCTTTTCCAAATCCATAAATGCCACAAAGACCTCTTTAACCTTATCTAAATACTGTTCACTTATATGTTTCACTGTAAACACCTGGTCCACACACCCCCTACCTTTCCTAAAGCCTCCTTGTTCATCTGCTATCCTATTCTCCGTCTTACTCTTAATTCTTTCAATAATAACTCTACCATACACTTTACCAGGTATACTCAACAGACTTATCCCCCTATAATTCTTGTGTCCCCTTTGCCTTTATACAAAGGAACTATGCATGCTCTCTGCCAATTCCTAGGTACCTTACCCTCTTCCATACATTTATTAAATAATTGCACCAACCACTCCAAAACTATATCCCCACCTGCTTTTAACATTTCTATCTTTATCCCATCAATCCCGGCTGCCTTACCCCCTTTCATTTTACCTACTGCCTCACGAACTTCCCCCACACTCACAACTGGCTCTTCCTCACTCCTACAAGATGTTATTCCTCCTTGCCCTATACACATAAATTGTTTATGGTAATTTTTACCACTTAATCTATCATTGCTTAGTTAATTTTAAGTTAATTTTAAGCCTGCCCATAATGCTCTGCATACAAGGCCCTTTTGGCATGTACACCCACCTATATTATAATTCCTTGTACAACTATGTATCATGTCCAAATAAAGTATTGTATTGTAAGTGTTTAAATGGCACACATTTCTTTGTCACTAACAGTAAGCTGACCTGAGTTACTTTTAAGTGAGACTATCTTTTCTCTAATCTTATTCCTACAGCAACCTGAAGGTAACCATTTGGGTTGGTTTCTGATTCCTTCACAATGTTACTTTCATATTTTCTTTTGGCATTTCCTATTCCTTTTTGGGCTTCTTTCTTAAATTGAATGTATTGATCATTTAGGTGACCTTTCTCTTTATTTGATAAAAGTGAAAGAGACAAAGCAGTACGAGAAACATCATTAAAGCTGTATGACAGACACTGTTAAGGCTGTAAGACAAACATTATTAAGGCTATAAGACAAACCTTATTAAGGCTATAAGACAAACATTGTTAAGGCTATAAGATAAACATTATTAAGGCTGTAAGACAAACATTATTAAGGCAATAAGACAAACATCATTAAGGCTATAAGACAAACATTATTAAGGCAACAACACAAACATTATTAAGGCTATAAGACAAACATCATTAAGGCTATAACACAAACATTATTAAGGCTATAAGACAAACATCATTAAGGCTATAAGACAAACATCATTAAGGCTATAAGACAAACATTATTAAGGCTATAAGACAAACATTATTAAGGCTATAAGACAAACATCATTAAGGCTATAAGACAAACATCATTAAGGCTATAAGACAAACATTATTAAGGCTATAAGACAAACATTATTAAGGCAATAAGACAAACATTATTAAGGCTATAGGACAAACATTATTAAGGCAATAACACAAACATTAATGAGGCTATAAGACAAACATTATTAAGGCAATAACACAAACATTAATGAGACTATAAGACAAACATTATTAAAGCTATAAGACAAACATTATTAAGGCTATAAGACAAACATCATTAAGGCTATAAGACAAACATTATTAAGGCTATAAGACAAACATTATTAAGGCTATAAGACAAACATTATTAAGGCTATAAGACAAACATTATTAAGGCTATAAGACAAACATTAATGAGGCTATAAGACAAACATTAATGAGGTTATAAGACAAACATTATTAAGGCTATAAGACAAACATTAATGAGGCTATAAGACAAACATTATTAAGGCTATAAGACAAACATTATTAAGGCTATAAGACAAACATTAATGAGGCTATAAGACAAACATTAATGAGGCTATAAGACAAACATTAATGAGGCTATAAGACAAACATTATTAAGGCTATAAGACAAACATTATTAAGGCTATAAGACAAACATTAATGAGGCTATAAGACAAACATTAATGAGGCTATAAGACAAACATTAATGAGGCTATAAGACAAACATTAATGAGGCTATAAGACAAACATTATTAAGGTTATAAGACAAACATTATTAAGGCTATAAGACAAACATCATTAAGGCTATAAGACAAACATTATTAAGGCTATAAGACAAACATTATTAAGGCTATAAGACAAACATTATTAAGGCTATAAGACAAACATTATTAAGGCTATAAGACAAACATTATTAAGGCTATAAGACAAACATTATTAAGGCTATAAGACAAACATTAATGAGGCTATAAGACAAACATTATTAAGACTATAAGACAAACATTATTAAGGCTATAAGACAAACATTATTAAGGCTATAAGACAAACATTATTAAGGCTATAAGACAAACATTAATGAGGCTATAAGACAAACATCATTAAGGCTATAAGACAAACATTATTAAGGCTATAAGACAAACATTTTTAAGGCTATAAGACAAACATTATTAAGGCTATAAGACAAACATCATTAAGGCTATAAGACAAACATTATTAAGGCTATAAGACAAACATTATTAAGGCTATAAGACAAACATTTTAAGGCTATAAAGACAAACATTATTAAGGCTATAAGACAAACATTATTAAGGCTATAAGACAAACATTATTAAGGCTATAAGACAAACATTAATGAGGCTATAAGACAAACATTATTAAGACTATAAGACAAACATTATTAAGGCTATAAGACAAACATTATTAAGGCTATAAGACAAACATTATTAAGGCTATAAGACAAACATTAATGAGGCTATAAGACAAACATCATTAAGGCTATAAGACAAACATTATTAAGGCTATAGACAAACATTTTAAGGCATAAAGACAAACATTATTAAGGCTATAAGACAAACATCATTAAGGCTATAAGACAAACATTTTTAAGGTATAAGACAACATTATTAAGACTATAAGACAAACATTATTAAGACTATAAGACAAACATTATTAAGAGCTATAAGACAAACATTATTAAGACTATAAGACAAACATTATAAGACATGTACTTCACACATGTACTTCAATAAGACTGACCTTGTGTGTGAAGTCCTCAGTGAAGTCCATCATGTCATAGCTCAACACAACAAACAATTATTTACTATTAAAGACCAACAACAACACAATATATTTATCAACAAGCAGTGTTGCCATCAGGGCTGCAACACTTTTATTAAAATTATCGTACACAGCTCAACAAATTATCGTTCGTCCACCCATATTATTGTACATAATTATCATTATAAACTGATGATTATGTTATTCTAAACTGTCGTTTCTAATAACCATTTACATTAAAAGCTGCTTAAATAATCAAAAGAAAAAACTTATTTTCATACAAGGCATATAATTTTGTCATTTAAAATTAAGCTTTGGTTTTAAGCATATAGGCCTACAACATAGAGCCTATGTTATTCGTACATATTTTTCATAAAAACCTACCTCTTAGGTATATTTTATATATATATATTATATATATATATATATATATATATATATATATATTATATTATATATATATATAATATATAATAATAAATATATATAAATAAAACACAAAATACATCTTTTTTATGTTGTAAGGACCCCAGTGTGTTACACTGAGTAATATACACATGTTACTATGCATGGTAATTGTAGTTATGTGTACCTGTACACCAATAAACCTATTTAATCCTCAGTTTCATCCATATTGATAACATGAAGCTCATGAGCTGTCAGATGAACACGTCGAGCACTGAAGTTAGTTTTAGTTAGTTTAATATGTTTATTATGCACCCCATACCCATCCTGTGGGCGGTAGTCAAAAGATTACAGAGGTACATAATTGGTCCAGGGACTGGACTCCAAAGTTTTGATAGCTGAGCAAGTTACAGAGGCAATGAACTCACAATTTACAAAGGTAATGAACTCACAATTTACAAAGGTAATGAACTCACAATTTACAAAGGTAATGAACTCCAGGTAAGTCTGGTCACAATCATGACAAGTTACAAAGGTATTTACAGATTACAGAGGTACGTAATGGGTCCAGGGACTGGGCCCCCAAAGTTTTGATAGCTGAACTAGGTACAAAGGTTTAAAGAGCTCACAGTTACAAAGGTAATGAATTCTGTAGAATGGTTACTTACGTTTTACTTTGGCTACAATCATGAACAAATTATAGTAGCCAAAATAAAGTAAGTAAAAACCCTTCCGAATTCACTGAAGGACCCCCCCCATTTTTAAGTGTTTTTCCTGTTCTGAAATATTAAAAACCCTAAAAAAGAAGGGAACACTGCCAGCAGGGTATGGCCCCCTGCGGGCAGGTCCAAGTTCCTACCGGGTTAAGCCCTGCACCCAACCCAGTCAGGTCGGGTCACATTGACTTAAAGGGGAACACGGAAAAACCGCCCTGGTGCACAAGCTATCAGGTCCAATCACACCCACCCACACCCAACCATGAAATTTACCCAACCTTTTTTTAAAACTACACAAACTTTTTCGGGCCCCTCTATAACGGTACTTGGGTTTTTTACTCATCCCAACTCTATTACCAAACCGGGTTTTTTCCCCAAATATCCTTCCTAAAATCTAAATTTTTTTCCAATTTAAAAACCCTTTGTGCGAGCCCTTTTCCCACAGATTTTTTTCAGCACATTTTACATCCCCTTTATTTATTCCGTTTTCCCAATTTATCACCCAATCATATCCCCCCTAATTTTTATGTCTTTTTTAGATTTGCAGTTTCCCGGGCCCTTGTCTATCCCTTCATGGGGGGAAAGGTTTTTCTGATACAGGGGAAATCAACTTTTTTAAATCCTCCCTTGTACATTTTCCAGGCATTTATACCCAAATTTGTAATACGTGGGGAAAAAAACTGTGCGGGAAACAATCTAAATGGGGCCCTTTAACCAAGGATGAAATAGATTTAAAAAGGAACCCAACCCCTGGGGACCCCCTTTTAAATTTATTTTCTTGTTATGAACCCCCGGGATTCTATTGGGCCTTTTTTGCGAACACTTTTTCACTGTTGTCTTGGTTTCGGGTTTACTGCTAACCAAAACTCCCAAAATCTTTTTTCCCCAAACCCGAAAATATTAAATTACTTTATTTAGTTTTTATGTGGCCCTGGTTATTTTTCCTGTTTTTTCCAAAAAAAAAAAAATTTTTTGAACTTTGCATTTGTCTATATTAAAAAATGCATCTGCCACTTCCCGACCACTGCATCAGTCCCATTTTAAATCTTCTGGAGTGCTCTAATGTCCTCGTCAGAATGAATTCGACGGCCTATTTTGGTGTCATCGGCAAACTTGCTGAATGTCGCTCTTTATGCCCTCATCTATGTCGTTTATGTATATTGTGAACAGCAGGGGGCCCAACACTGACCCCTGTGGAACACCGCTCGTGACGCTTCCCCACTCTGATTTCTCCCCATTTATGCAAACTCTCTGCTGCCTATTTGTCAACCATGCCTCTAGCCAGGAAAAAATTTCTCCTCCTATTCCATGTGCCTTAATTTTCCTCAATATTGCGACAGTAACACCATCCATTGTAAGTACTGACCAGTGTTCTGAAGTATTGCGACAGTAACACCATCCATTGTAAGTGTTGACCAGTGTTTTGAAGTGCTGATACAGTAACACCATCCATTGTGAGTTGACCAGTGTTCTGAAGTGCTGATACTGTAACACCATCCATTGTGAGTTGACCAGTGTTCTGAAGTGCTGATACTGTAACACCATCCATTGTAAGTGTTGCCCAGTGTTCTGAAGTATTGCGACAGTAATACCATCCATTGTGAATGTTGACCAGTGTTCTGAAGTGCTGATACAGTAACACCATTCATTGATGTAATGTTGAAGTGCATGTCTTCTGAAGTTGCAGCTGAATGCTGATAACACCATCATTGTGAATGTTGACCAGTGTTCTGAAGTGCTGATGCTGTAACACCATCCATTGTGAATGTTGACCAGTGTTCTGAAGTGCTGATACAGTAACACCATTCATTGTGAATGTTGGCCAGTGTTCTGAAGTGCTGATGCTGTAACACCATCCATTGTGAATGTTGACCAGTGTTCTGAAGTGCTGATACAGTAACACCATTCAATGTGTAACATTTACTACGTTACTTAAAAATAAATACTGGCGCCTAAGGGTTAACAACCTGTCCAACAGGTTGTTAACCCGGAGCATAGAAGTGTATCTAAAGACTTTGAATTAGGAACCCCATAGGGAGGTGTCCTCAGTATCACTTTATTCAATTTTCTAATTAATTCTTTATTAAATGATATGCCTGGCCAGCCTGGTCATTATATGATTAGTTTTGCTGATGATATAATGATTCACACCACCGGATTCTCGAACACCCAAAACATCCTTAACCATGTACTAGCCTCGTGTCAGGACCTCCGACCGAGGGTTGATTATCTCTGCTGAGAAATCGAAGATCAGGCGTCCTCCTCGACTGGCACAGCCCGCGTGATGCAGTTGCATGATGGGGTCTCGACTAGAATATGTAATCAGATATAGGAATGTAGGCTTTTAGGTCCCACTACTTGGATTTATTGTAACAAGATTTTGTCGCCAATACAAAGGCTGAGAGAGCTTAGGTTTTCATCCCATGTATTGTGCTAATGTTAAAATTGTGAAAATGGTGTATTTTCCTTACATAAGATCACTGGTTGGTTATGTTGTGCCACTACTTGCTCTTGTGTCAGATTGAAAGCTTGGAGGATCAATGAGGATCATCCTTGGATGCCCTCGTATTTTCAAAATTCTAAACATGCGGGTAGAACTTGATATTCCAGGTACATGAGATCATGTCACCAAAAGAAATGTCCTCACTGGGGTCAATATGCTCAGGGAAGTCCATTCAAATCCTTGCTCAGACGCCTTTCAAACTTTCCTCAGCACTGCTGAAGGGAAATCTTGTGTCACAAGCCTACTGGAGTTCTATGACAGGGTGACAGCAGTAAGACGAGAGAGAGGGGTGGGTAGATTGCGTTTTCTTGGGGTGTAAGAAGGTTTTTGACACAGTTCCCCACAAGAGATTAGTGCATAAGCTGGAAGACCAGGCAGGTATAAACAGGGAAATCACTGCAATGGATCAGGGAATACCTGTTGGGAAGACGTCAGTGAATCATGGTACGTAACAAAGAATCAGAGTGGGTACCTGTGACGAGCGAAGTTCCACAGGGGTCAGTCCTAGGACCGGTGCTGTTTCTGGTGTATGTGAACGACATGATGGAAGGAATAGACTCAGAAGTGTCCCTGTTTGCAGATGTTGTGAAGTTGATGAGAAGAATTCAATCGGACGAGGACCAGGCAGAAATACAGAGGGATCTGGACAGGCTGCAGGTCTGGTCTGGAAACTGGCTTCCGGAGTTCAACCCCACCAAGTGCAAAGTCACGATGACTGGGGAAGGGCAAAGAAGACCGCAGACGGAGTACAGTCTAGGGGGCCAGAGACTACATACCTCACTCAAGGAAAAGGATACTGGGGCGAGTATAACACCGAGCACATCCCCTGAGGTGCACATCAACCAAATAACTGCTGCAGCATATGGGCACCTAGCAAACCTTAGAATAGCATTCCGACATCTCAGTAATGAATCGCTCAGGACCCTGTACACCGTGTATGTCAGGCCTATAATGGAGTATGCAGCACCAGTTTGGAACCCACACCTAGCCAAGCATGTAAGGAAATTAGAGAAAGTGCAAAGGTTTGCAACAAGACTAGTCCTGGAGCTAAGGAGCGTGTCCTACGAGGAGAGGTTAAGGAAAATCGACCTGACGACACCAGAGGACAGGAGAGATAGGGAGATGTGATAACGACATATAAAATACTGAGAGGAATCGACAAGATGGACAGAAACAGGATATTCCAGAGATGGGACACAGCAACAAGGGGGGTCACAATTGGAAATTGAAGACTCAGACGAATGACAGGGATGTTAGGAAGTATTTCTTCAGTCACAGAGTTGTCAGGAAGTGGAATAGTCTGGAAAGTGATGTCGTGGAGGCTGGATCTATACATAACTTTAAGAAGAGGTATGGTAAAGCTTATGGAGCAGGAAGAGTGAGCTACCTGGAGAGAGTTTCGGGAGTCAACGCCCCAGCGGCTCGGTCTAAGACCAGGCCTCATGATGGATCAGGGTCTGATCAACCAGGTTGTTACTGCTGGCCGCACGCAAATTGACTTAC